AACGGAGTCATTGAGCCGGAGCAGAAGACAGTCCCCAGAATTCCTCCCCACGCCGGGCAGCCCAGAGCTGGCCTCAGAGTGAAACAGACCCCTCCCGGGTGTCGCAGCCCCCCTCTGCGGACCCCCGAGCCAGCAGCTTCCACGCTGCTCCAGCGAGGTCTCCCCTGCATACGAGGCCGAAGACCATCCGTTCCCGGGAGCCGTGGGAGCTACAGAAGGTTCCGCATCGGAGGACTGGCCTCCTTGAATGTGTGGGTCAGAACATGATCAAGATAAGGTCCCGTAACGGTTGGGATGTGGGTTTAGGTGCTTTAACAACAGGCAAAATAAAAACAGCTGCAACAAATCCTCACCCTAACACTGGAGTACGCGGTATTACCAACTCCGGCCGAGGAAACCGAGGCTCCGGCTGGGCGGGGTGCATGCCGCAGGGCCGGCGGGGGGCAGCCAGGACCACCCGGCCTCTCTGTGACTGCCTTCCCCCTTCCGCGCGGCCTCCACGCACGTCCGCAGCAGGAGTCTGCCCCTGGTGGGAAGACCTCACGGACCTCCATTTCCCAGACCACTTTCCCCACCGGGCGATCCGTCTCGCTGCTGCGAGACTGTCAGTGCCGGCCACTCAGAAGTCCCTGCAGAGGGACCGCACAGGATGTCCTCACGGTCCTCTTGCCGTCTGAGCAGAGCTATTTCTGTGTTGTTTCTCGAACACGGCCGAGCCGGCGTTGCGTGCTCTGTGTGGGGGCGCAATAACTCAGCGGCAGAACCAGGTTTTATCGCGGGCTGCGATCTTTCCATCAAAGCGGCGCTTTGCCCACGTCTGAAATGATGGGCCTGTCCCCAGGAAACACCGTCCCGGCCCTTCCTCCCCCGCGGGCTCCCAGCGCCCCTGCTGAGCGCGGGCCCGTGGGCAGGGGTGACACGGCAGCTCAGATAGATCGATGCGACGAACAGAACTGGAGGAGACGGCCCTGCAGCCGGCCAGCCGCAGGGCTCCGATCACACGCTTTGCCGTAAAGCCCTGTTCTTATCACATCCCAAGTGGCACGGGCTCTCCGTCTCCTCCGAGGGCTCTGCAGGATCTGCTGGTGCGTCTCCTACAAGAAAGATCTAATCATTTTGCTAAAAACTCAAGCGTCCGCCCTGGAGTCCCCCCGGCTCCTGGTGAAGCGCGGTGAGAGTACCCCCCGTCATTATGTCAGCGCTTCTCGCGCCCTGGGCGCTGAGCCGAGCTTGTAGAAGCAGCACCTCGTCGCGGGCTCCGGGCAGCAGGCAGCTCGGGGCTGCTCTTCCCAGAGGAGCAGGAGGGGCTGAGTAAGGGCCCGAGGTCAGAGAGCAGTGTGTCCGTTTCTGTTGCTGCATCACAGCCACTGGCTTAGCAGCTGGAAACAGCTGACACGTGCTTTCTCCGTGTTCCCGCGTCAGGAGTCTGCGCACAGCGTGGCTGGCTCCTCTGCCCAGGGCCAGAGGGCTGGTCCAGGTGCCCACTGGGCTGCGTTTTCCCCTGCGCCCGTCTGGGCCTCCCCCACGCTCTCGTGCTTGCTGGCAGAATCCAGCCCCTGTGCTGCAGGACTGAGGGGGCACCTGCGGCCCCCATGTGGCCCGCTCACACAGGACAGCTGGCATCTTCAAAGCCAGCGGAGGAGGGCCCCTCGCTCCCGTCTGCTGAAACGGAGCCCGAGATAACGTCGCTGAGGAACGGGGACGGCCCTTGTCCCCTTTGTCACGCTCCCTCGGAGCATGTCGCAGGTCTGACCCTCTTCCCCTTCGGCCCGAGTCTTTCTCGTCCTTCGGGTGTCATGCTGATGTGACCACCTCTGCACGCCCTTCCCGTCCCCCTGCCCAGAGCAGGACCATTTGCCGTCTCTCTTCTCGGCCCTCAGAGCACCTGTTCCGACTCAGGATCATGTCGTGTATCAGCTTTGGGGCCTGTCCCTCCCCCTGGGATGAAAGCGGGGTCTCTCCTGCTCGTTGCTGTGCCCCCGTGACTGCCAAGGGGACACCCATAAACGCTTGAGGGTCATGGCCGCCTCCGTGCTGAGCCGACACGGGAACGGGGCACAGCCCAGAAGCGCCGTCCACAGCACAGCGGAGACAGAGGCGCGGGCCCTCCGCTGGCAGGGGGGGCCGGGTGGGGACCCAGCAGTCTGCCTCTGAGCAGGACTGGCCCGGACAGGACGGCGTCTTCCCCGGAGCTGTGGCGCCTGGATGACCACTCACATCTGTGCCCGGTCCTCATGAGAGACTGCGCAGGGGACTTCCAGAGGTGGGTGCGGGTGGGTCCCGCCGTGGTCAGTGGGGGGCCCTGGCTGCCCCTCGAGACAGGCCCGCCCCCTCCATCAGGCCTCCTTCGGCTCCGCCAGGTGCGGGAACTTCCCGTGGCCACCACAGCAAATTACCACGAAAGGTGGCTTAGAGCAACACGAGCCGTTACCCCCCGGTTCTGGCCGGAAGACGGGAATGGAGCGTCAGCGGGCGTGCTCTGGGGCCCAGGGAGACTCCTTGCTGCCCCCCAGCTCCTGGTGGCGCGGGCCCCCTGGGCCTGTGGCCACATCACTCCAATGGCTGCGTCTGCCTGCACAGCCCCCTTCCTTCCTGGGTGTCTGTGTGTCCAAATCCCGTCTCCTTCCTCTTGAAAGACACCAAAACCTAGGATGATTTCCTGGTGAGAGCCTTCGTGAATTCCACCTGCAAAAGCCCCAATTCCAAATCAGGTCCCATCCGGAGGTCCTGCATAAACACGAAGTCTGGGGGGACACTGCACCCCACTAACCAGGTCAGCTCTTCTTAAGTTTGCCACCCCCACCTTCTCTCGGGGCTGACCCCTGGGTTCCTACAGTTCCAAGTCAACCCAGGCCACGTCTTCTCCGGCTGCCCCTGTGGGTCACGGCCTCCCCTGGGCGGCACGGCCCCTCTGCCTGCCCCGCCCCGCAGCCTCCGAGCCGCGCCAGCAGGGGGCACCAGCCCGCGTCTCCCTCTCCCACCGGGTCTGCGCTTCGGAGAGGAGGGCCTGTGCCTGGGGGTCTGCCCAGACCTGCCGGAGGCGGAGGAAGGGAAGGAGAGGAGGAGGAAGGGAGAAGACAGTGGAGGGGAAGGAAGGAGGGATTGGAAGAGAGGCCGGCAGGAAACCCTGGGACGGGCACTTCAGCATCAGCGGCATCTCGGGCTCATGCTCCCGGCCCCGGCCGCTCCCTCGCTGATCCCCACGCCCCAGACGGGGTCGTCTCCGTCCCAGTGATGCCTCATGGGACGGCTTTGCGCTGGCTGCTGTTTCCACGTTTGCCAAGTGTTTGTTGTCTCTGCCGTGTCTTGGGAACCCTCGGGAGACGCCCCGGCGGGAACCGGTGTTTGCTGACCTGATCCGCCAGCGCGCACGCTGAGCCTTCCGCCTGCATTTTAATTTTCTGAGCCCTCAAGTTCGTCCTCCCCGTGGGGACGCCACGGACAGTCTCCAGGTCCACCGTGGATGTTCGTGGGCGGCAGTGGGTTCGTGTACTCCATGCCCGTCAGTGTGTCCGTGGGCTCCCAAAGTCAAATGGAAACGGACACTTAAACACGTAGGTTGAGTGTTTCTTTCATCCCCAGAGCCGTGAACATCGCCTCGTGTTATTACAAATAAGCACTGTGGTTTTCGGGCAGGATTACTAGTAGGTAAACCAGGCACAGTCACTTCTTTGCAAGAAAGCTGTCGTTGGTCCAGAAGCTTTGACGTCGACCTCAGTGAGAGCGTCCGCCTGCATTTTGAGACGGTGGCTCAGTACCGAGCCTTCCAGTGGGTGTGCCGGCCGTAAGGAATCGGGGTGCAGGACGTCTGTGGGGCCTCGCAGCGTCCTCCGCTCCTCTCACCCTGTCCCCTGCGTGTGGACAGAGACCCTCTGCTCTACCAAACACGCGGGCTCCTGTGTTCTGTGGCAATTGGACTTGGGCTTTGGGCTCCCACGTTGGCCTCTGCGCTGTCCAGTCTTGGCAAGGGCCCCACCAGCGGTGTAGCCAGAACCCAGCATCCTCCTCACCGATCAGCCCCTCAGCCCGGTGACGTCTGACGCCTTCGGCAGGAGGCCCAGGAGGTCGGCCTGGCCAGCAGTTTCTCGTAATAATTTTCCACCTTCCGACCCGTACCCGCTCCAAGCTGTAAATCTTGTGTACGTGGTACACGGATGGGGCCACATTGGTTTTCGTTGTACATTTCTTTTGTTTCTGCTGTGTATCAGAGAGAGGGGGGGAGAGAGAGAGAGAGAGAGAGAGAGAGAGAGAGAGAGAGAAAGAGGCGGTAGTTTTGTTTAGTTTTACCACCTTTCAAGCCGATCCACCAGGACCACTCACACACTCAGACCCCACAAAAACTGGCTGCGGGCTGGGGTGGCCCGTCTCTGTCTTGGACAAGCTCCTGACCTCCCTGTCTATAGAATGGAGACCGCTGTCCAGCAGGGTCTGTCCCTAGCCAGGTGGGAGGGCTAAGGTACATCAGGAAGGGCCAGTGTCCACACCTGCCGGCAGGGACCACTTGCACAATGAGCAGTCACCTGGGGAGATGAGAGGCCAGACACCTAGAATATTCCAGCCCTGGCCGGTTTGGCTCAGCGGGTAGAACGTCGGCCCACAGAGAGTCCCGGGTTCAGTTCCCTCTAAGGGCATGTACCTCAGTTGCAGTTTGTCCCTGGCCCTGGTTGGGGTCGTGTGGGTGGCAGCCAGTTGATGTCTCTCTCTCTCACATCGATGCCCCCCCGCCACTCTGTCAGAAGATAAATGCAAAAATGTCCTCGGGTGAGGATTAAGAAAAAAAGAATATTCCAGAAAAGCAATATTCACACCACGTCCTCGCAGTTCCGGGAAACGAGGAAGCATGAGCAGAGGCACCGTGGTCACAGTATTACCCCCGCTCGGCTGAGGCCGGCGTCGGGGGGCAGGCGGTGGCCCTGCGGGCATCGGTCCCAGGCTCCGTCTGTCCGGTGCTTCTGTGGCTCCAGGAGGCGCGTTCTCAGTTTCTCTGTCTTCTGTTCCAGAGACATCAAGCCAGACAACATCCTGTTGGACGAGCACGGTGAGCCCCCCGCGGCGCCTTGTGGAAAGGGGGAGGGGCGGCTCTGGGAAGCAGGGGGTCCACTGAGTCGGTTTGAAGATCCTCTGGGAAGCCTTTTGTTGGCTTCAGCCCTGGTGGGTGAACATCCGTGTGACTGGTCAGCGTCCACAAGGTGAGTGGGCTGGTGTATTGGAAGGTCTCACGTCCGAAGCCGGGGCGGTCGCTGTCGGGTGTGAGGAGGACAGCGTGGAAGTGGGGGTGAGACGGAGGCTGAGATGCCCTGGGGCCCCCACTTGGGGACCCATGGCTTCGGGAGGCGCCCCCCTCTCTGCGCCTCACTGTCACCTGCCAGACATCGTCCAGATCGACCCGGGGATCACATGGGTTAGTGCACAGCTGGCGAGCCAGAAATCAATAATCGATAACCCGCTAAGCCCCCCCTCACCCAGACCCAAGGGTTCGTGCGCATTTGGAGCCTGGCCATCTCCTTACACTGATCGAGTGGGTCTTTTGTTTTTAATCCTCACCTGAGGATATTTTTTCATTCTTGTTCAGATAGAGTGGGAGGGAGAGAGAGGAAGAGAGGGAGAGAGAGAGAAACATCCATGTGAGAGGGACACATCGACTGGTTGCCTCCCGCATGGGGATGAACCGTAACAGAGGTAAGGGCCCTTGATGGGAATCGAACCTGTGACTCATTGGTCCGCGGGCCGACGCTCTAACTGCTGAGCCAAGCCGGCCAGGGCTCAAGTGGACCTTAAGCGGGGCCAGAGAACCTGCGTCCTCACAGCGCCCACACGGGGCCGCCTCTGTGGGTCCAGGGACCACCCTTGGAGGAGCAGGTGCCATGCCTGTGGCTGTCCTCCTTCAGTCTTGTGGGGATCTCCAGGGGGACTTGGTAAGAATCAGGGGCCAGCCCTGACTGGCTTCAGCGAGCCCTGGCCCCTGTGTTCGGGGTCAGCCCAGGGAGGGGATGCCCAGCCCCGTCAGGCCCACGGGTCGAGGTGCACCCGTGGTCTAAGCCAGCTGACCTGACCGTCCACCGTAGTCAATGCCGACGGCAGCTTTGCAGAGTAAGGCGCCGTCTCGGGCTCTCGGGAGGGTGGGCTGCAGGGAGCAGTGGGGGTTTTTCTGAGGTGCTGCCGCTTCTGCGTGACCACGCCCCATGCCTGCAGGCCGAGGCCGTGGCTTCTTCTCCAAGCCCCTGTGGAAGCCCGGGTGCGTGGCCAGTGTGTCTCCTGTGTCCTGTCATATTCCATAAGCCCCTCGGTATCAGGAAGTGGCCCCGAGGTGGTGGTGGGACCTGGGCTCGAACTTCCTGCCAGCTGGGACCAGGCTGAGCGCTTGGGGCAGTGGGTTGAAATCCTTGTGCTCCTCACTGGACGCTCAGTGATGGCCTCGAGATGCCAGGGGAACTGGGCAGAGCCCAGCGCACAGACCAGGGTCCTCAGCTTGTACCTAAAAGTCAGGATCCCTGGATGTGAGCTCAGCTGGCCCCCAACTAGCCATGGGTCCTTCCTTGGGCAAGTTGCTCCACCTCCCTGGGTCTCGCCTCCCGGAAAGGAAATAAAACAAGTGGTGCCCCCTTGCAGGGCTGGTGAAGGTCTGAGACGAGACCCCGAGGGTCAGCTGTACACAGGGCATGCGAGTGCCCGCGGGGCTTGTACTACCAGGCTCTCCCTGTCCCTCTGTGCCCAGGGCCAGGCCAGGTCGCTGAAGCGGGCGAGGTGGGCTGGACTGTGCAGGCCCCGTGCAGGGCTGTCCGGGAAGCCAGGGGTCCGGGGGACCGTCTTCGGGAGGATCCCAGGGCCCTGCCCTAATGACTGAGGGACACTTGGACAAAGGCCTTTCAGGCCCTGGACAAATGACCAGAAGCACAATTAAGGCAGGAACAGAAGGTAGTAGGAATACTCCAGCCCCTTCATCTGTGAGGATAAGACGCTCGGAGCCTGTAGCAGGGTCTGGGCCTTTCTGCGGCCGTGGTTCCCAGAGCCGGCCACGGAGCTCCCAGAGCCGCTGCAGGTGGGCGGGCTGCTCCCACGCCCTCTGTGCTTCCTCGTCCTTGCCCTCTAGGACTCTGTCCGTCCCTTCCCCTCTCCCTTTCTGCACATGCTCTCAACCTCCGACCTCAGCCCTTTCTCACTTTCCTCCGGATCGCCCTGTTCTCTGAGCTCTCCACCCATCGTCACCCCCTGCATGGTGTACACGGGGTCCTGCCCCTGCCCACACACGCCCCAAGGGCCTCGGGACCCGCCCTCCTCTGTCCTCCAGGCTCCTGTTTCAGCAAGCGTGTCTGCCAGGCATTGGGACAGAGCGCTGAATACACTATTTCATACTAAGGGGTGAATGACTTACCACCCCCTCCCCGTTCATGTCCAGTGAGTACCTTCACAGGCAGTGCAGGGAATTCTCAGGGACACACGACCCCTCAGGAGAGACGGCCCTCCTCTCCCTCGTGTATGACCAGAGATGCTCGTCAGCCTGTGTTATTTTTTCCTTAGTCATCGTTGCCTTTTTGTCTTCAGCTTTATTGAGTTACGACTGGGAATTAAAAATTGTCTCTGTTTAGGTGGTACAATGTGATTTTTCAGGACGTACAAGATGATGATTTAATGTATGCATACACTGTGAAATGCTGCCACAGGGGAGTTAATGAACACCTCCGTTGCCGCACACACGTGCCTTCTGATTGCGCGCGGCGAGAACGTTTGAGGTTCACCCCCTTAGCGAACGTCAAGTAGACAAAGCGGTATCATTAACGGCAGTCACCACGCTGTACATTACATCCCCTTGACCTTTGGTTAATTGCATCACAAAACAGCTTGCCAAACAGATAATTATGCGTTGCTGTTTAGAGAGTCCGATCATCAATCTCATGAAGTGTTTTCTCAGAGAACAAGTTGGTTGGCTGTGTTTACAATGAACTACACACACATTAATAATTCATTAATGATATTCGAAATCTGCTGCTTACACAACATCCATGACTCAGGGAGCTTCCCCGCTACCCCAGGGGCTGCTTGGCTCTGAGATCCTCCAGGGTGGACGTCACTCGGATCCTGCGCCGAGGTTTGGTCCCTTGGCCAGCAGCAGAAGCAGAGAGACCGAGCTGGGGGGAGTGGAGCTGGAAGGAGGTGCAGCATCGTAGGAGGCGGGAGGGGGAAGAGTTGGGGGTGCTTTGGGGCCGAGGGCAGAGCTGGAGGAGGTGGATGTAAACCGTGGAAGAAGGTGGAGGATGGCCCTCGCTTCTGCTGGTACCGCAGGGCTGGGGAAGGAGTAGCCCCGTGGCTGTGTGCAAACAAGAAGCGTCCAGTGAGCTCACAGGTCAGGGGGTTAAGTTCTCGTAGGCAGGCTTGCTCCTAAGACGGAGGGCAGATGGGCTCAGCCAGGCAGCCCCGGTGACCTTGGCTGTGCTCACTCGCCGCCCGAGGGGCGCCTGGCTGCCGCGGGTACACCAGTGGCCCGGCCGGTTGACTGCGGGACTCCGCCCTGCTCCTCACGACCCCTGGCCCCCAGCAGGCCAGCGTCGCGTGGCCTGGCGTGGCTACAGCAGAAACCAGAGCAGGGAACACCCAGTCACTCAAGGCCTCCACCTGTTCCCACTGCTGCCATCCCAGGGGGCAAAGCAAGTCACGTCTCGCCACCTAGAGGCGAGGGAGGACACTGCCCAGTTAATGGCCACAGTGTGGTGCAGAGTGTGGCCATCCACGCACTGTCTGGCAGAGGCCATGGCACAGAGGGGCCGCCTGCCACATGGGCAGCTCTCTTCCCAGATGGGCAGGGACGAAAGTCAGAGACCGGGCAGCACCTGCATTTGCCCGGGGCGTCCTTGGGGCCCTCGGTCAGGGTTCACTGATCACGCAGCTCTGTCCTTGTCCGTATCCGGGAAAGTGCCCCTTCATTCTTGGAGGCACTGTGCCAGGTGACCGAAGGACATGGAGCCCCTGTGGTCAAGGGTGGTGGTTCTCAGCCACGCTGCACATCGCCCAGGAGCTGTGACATGTTCAGAGGCCAGTGCTGGGGGGGGGGTTCTGAAGACCCCCAGTGTTTCTGAGGTGGAGCCAGGGCTCAGGAAGAATAGAGAGGTCATTCTGATCCAGCAGGGTCAGCGCTGGGACCAGCAGGGGTGAGCTGTGCAAGAGCAGGTGGTCAGCGAGGCTGGGGAGGAGGATGGAGGGCTTCCTGGAGGGGGCGTCCATGTGGGACCCTGCAGATGAGTGGGATCAGCAGAGCATTTGGGGTCATGGCATTCCCGGGGGCGGGCGAGTGAGAAGTCTCCACCCACAGGAGGCGGTGAAGACACGCCCCCCACACACCTTTCTGACTTCTCCGCAGCTGGGCCATGCAGTGTGGGGCCCAGCCTTCATTTTCTGTGATCTGATGCTTGACTACTTCACACTCCAGGCCACTGTCACCTGTCCCAGTCACCCGGGGTCAGACGCTCAGGCCGCCCTGCCCCAGACCCCGATGGCACTCGGACTAGCCCCCTAAGCCTGCTGGCCTGCCTCCCCGTTCCTCCCCACAGAAACCACCAGAAAGGTTCCTGCCCACGGCCCCCCTCCCTCTGCCTCTGGGTGCCCCTCCTCTCAGGACCTGGAGTGACAAGCTCTCTCCTAACGTCGCTTTACCGCCGATTTCTATGAACAGTGGACAGTAGCGCGCTCATTCACGGGGCTCACTTCAGACAGCGGCTGCTCCATCTGTCGCCAGCCTATCTGTTGATAACTGTGATGCGTGCTCCCCCAAATGGCGGTGGCCTGCAGCATCGACACCCTCTTCTCCTTGTCGAAACACTAGAGGCAACCCCCGTCCTGCCCAGAGGAGGAGGCTCCGGGAAATGACCAGCCGGGCGCGTGTGCCCGAGCCCTGGGGCGCAGGGGCTGGAGCCGCTGAGGGGTGGGAGAAGCCACCCCGACGAGCCGGGCAGAGGGGTGTCTGCTGAGCTGAGGACCTGGCAGCGGGGTTGTTATTCCCGGTGGGGTTCCGAGAGTTTACGGAACAGTGTAGGAATGCCTCTGGGTGTCCTTGGTGTTGGGGGGGGGGGCATGTGATCCTTTCAGAGGCTGCTGTGGGGGAAGTTTCTACCATAGTTAGATGTCGTGGGAGAGCCTTAAAGTCCTAAACGCCCAGCGCAGTGGCCAAGGGCCTGTCTGGTGGCAGGTACATGGCTTTTCCAGTTTTGGGGCTCATGACACTGGACAGACACAGAGAATTTCACCTAGGTAGCTCCTGAGAAAAAACAATTCTTCATTTCCTGAACCCCCTGGGAAATCATCTCCCCAGTTTTTACTGGGCCCCATTGGGTCACAAAACTAATCACAACAAACTGAGACCCAGGCCCAGGCTGTCTGGCTTGGGGTCTGTGCACCACACTGCCTCGCAGCAGATGGGACCTGGATGGATGAGCCGAGGGGATGCTCACCGGCCCTGGAGGGTGGAACAGGCTGGAGATGTTCAGGGACTCTGCCTGGGTGGGGACACTGCATCTGGCCAGACAGGGCTCCCAGCGAAGTCCTGGGCGGGCGACTTCAGCTCCATCCGCCGGCCCCTGGGGGGACTGTAGGTCATCACTGAGGACACTGTGGCTGCGTGCGACCAGGGCCTGGTCAGGGTGCCTGGCCCTCACACGTAGTCCTGGCACAGAGCCGAGATGCAGGGTTTGTGTGCAGAGCGGCTGGTTCCTTTGCTGTCCCCCACGGCTGATCACATCAGACACACCTTTCCCGGGGGCGCCCCTCAGCAGGCCTCATCCTTTTGAGGTGCCCTCCAAGTGCCCCCAAAGCCAGTGTTGTGCCCGCCACCCCCCTCGGTGCGGAAGTCCCACCATCCCGACCATGTCTCCAATGTGCGCGTCCAGCCCGCGGTTCACAGGATGTGATGGGAAACAAACAGGAGGAAGTGGGCACTGGCCTCGGTGTTCAGGTCTCGGAGCCGAGGTGTGTATGCTCCCGGGGAGCCTGCACTGACCTCCCAGCGTCTTCCTCCCTCCTTCCCCTCTTCTCTCTCCCCTTTCCCCAGCCTCGTCTCCAGCCCTCTGTCCGTCCGCTCCCTTCCCTCTCAGGTTCCTGCACACCTGTCGGGAGGAGCACCCAGCCTATCCATGTCCACTAGGCTGGTTGGAGGGGGTCTCAACCCCCAGTGTCTCCCGTGAATTTGTCGGGTACAGTCCTGAGGTCCCCACTGACCACAGCAGAGATGGGAGAACAAGTGTCCCCTGGGCACTCTGCGCCCCGCCCCAGCCACAGTCACACACGGTTTTCCTGAGACAGGGGTCTGGGCGGACCTGACTCTCTTATATACCGGGAGCCTTCCCTCCCTGGGTCAGTGCCTGTGAACCTGTAACCAGAGTTGTGTTTTTTTTACCATGCCTGCAATATAAATAGATTGTTTAGTTTATAAGTAATATGCATGAACTACCAATAAATTTGCACTATAAAACTTGTGCCTAAAATAAATAGACACATATGTGAACATTTAAGCTCTACTCTTGCAGGTTTCCATCATATAACAGTGTTATCAGCTACAGTCTCCGTGTTATCCATAGATCCCCGGCCCTGGCTCATCTCATCGCTGAAAGTGTGCCCCTCCCCAGCCCCTCCCCACGGCCCACCCCAGCCCCTGGCAACCTCTCTCCACGCTCTGTTCCTGTGAGTCTGAGTTTTGCTCAGACGGCACATGGGAGTGGTAGCCCGCAGTGTTATCTCTCTGTCTGACTTATTTCGCTCAGCAAATGCCCTCCAGGTCCACCCATGTGGATGCAAATGGCAGGTTGTCCTTCCTCACAGCTGGATAATGCTCCACTGTACATACACGTACCACATCCTCTCTCCATTCATCTGCTGACAGACGCTTAGGTTGTTTCCATATTTCGGCTACGATGAATAATGCTGCAAAAAAAGAGACGTCTTTAAAGTAGCAGATAAAACATACATGCAGGTAGATGGTCTGACAGTCTCCCCGCAGCACACCTGACAGACCGCAGCTCAGTCACACGAGGAACAGCCCCGCCCCCTGCAGCTCTTGCTAACGGGGGCCTCTGTTTCTCTGTCTCCAGGACATGTTCACATCACAGACTTCAACATCGCCACCGTCGTGAAGGGAGCAGAAAAGGCTTGTTCCATGGCCGGGACCAAGCCCTACATGGGTGAGTGAGCCAGGACCCCTTTGGGGTGTGACCTGCCCAGTGGCTGAGACCTCGATGTCCTCTCCTGCGTCACCCCACCCCAGCCGTTCCCCGCATGTGGCTTTCTCACATATTTGGGCTTTCCCCAAGCTGTCTTCCCTGCCTTTCTCTCCGGTGTCTTCTAGGGAACTCAGACAACCCTTCCGTCTGTCTGATTCGAGTCCAGTGGTGTCGCTAGAATATAGCCTTGGGTTGGTCAGTTGGGTCTGTACGCGTAGGTGTACAGTGTGCGGTTCCGGCTGGGGTTCCCGCCAGGACTTCCGATGGAAGTGTTATTTTTGGTAAACATTCTGTTCCCTTTAAAGACGCCTGTTCCCTGAATGCTGGGTCTTCTTTGCCAACCTTCGACCCTTGTCACTTGCAAATCTTTCTTATCTCTTCCTTCGTGTATTTAAGTGTTTCCCATTTTTCTTTCTCTTTCTATCAAAGCATCGCCTAGTGTGTTTATTTACGTTGTGGGCTTTCTAGTGAAGAATTTCTCACTGAAATAATTTCCCTTTATTTCTAATAGTCTCCGAGTCCTCTTGCCTGATGGCTGGGTTTTTAAATTCTGATTGACGTTATTCTTTTGTGCCTTGTATAATTGTATTACTGTCTCTGGTAGTTCTTAATTCTTGATGTCTGTATTGGTGCCTGACTGCTGAGTGACCAGCGTGTCAAACCTTTGTAGCTCTGCCCTGGCTGCTTTGGCTCAGCGGTTAGAGCGTCGGCCCGCGGACTGAAGAGTCGTGGGTTCAGTTCTGGTCACGGGCACGTGCCTCGGTCGTGGTTCAGTCCCTGGCCCTGATCGGGGTTGTGCAGGAGGCAACCGATCAATGTGTCTCTCTCACATCGATGCCCCCCCCACCCCCGTCGGAAGATAAATGGAAAAATATCCTCAGGTGAGGATTTAAAAAAAACTTAGTAGCTTAGAACAAAAGCAGTGTGTGATTGCTCACAATTCTGCCACTTGGCTGGATGGGCCTGCTGGTTTGGGCTGGGCTCACTCACTCACAGCCGAGATGAACGGACCCCTCTCTCTGTGTGGTCTTCGTCATCAAGGGGACCAGTGAGCTTGTGCACAGGGTGGCAGCAGTCTCAGGAAGGAGACCCCGTTCGCACGTGCTTATCAAGTCTCCGCTGGCCTCACATGTCCCCAGTCGGCCAGAGCAGGTCACACGGCCAGCGCCCGATGCCGCGGCAGGGACTGCACAGGCAGGGACAGCAAGCGGCCCGACCCACGGGGCAGCAGGGAGCCAGTGCCCCACGCGGGCACCTACGTCTTCTGAAATAGCTGCTCACAGGCTTGACCTTGTGGGGACCCATCTTTCTGGGTTCACTGCGATGTGTGTTCTACTCTCTCTTCTCCTTTGCGTGTATTTTGACTTGGATACTTTTCTGTTGCTCTTTCTCACGTGAAATTTGTTTTCCTGAACTTTTGGAGGGTGGTTCGGTCTAGGGAAGCTTTTGTAATGTAACAGACCTTCTTCTGTTGTTTTGTGACCTGAACATTCAAGGCGGCTTGCTCTCTGGGGTTTCCGGGCTCGGGTCCACGTGCCCACTCTGACCTGGATCTGCCCTTCTTTGACTGTGGGGTCCCTGTGTGCTGGGCTTGATTCCACTCCCTCCAGTGTCCCCTGGGGTCTGTCCTGGAAGGGGCTCCGGCTGGACCGATGACAGGGATTTGGTGGCCTGTGACAGGGCCCTTCCCTCGACGTCGAGCTGGACGAGCCCCTGGGTCTCAGCCGCTGTGCTGCCGGGGGTGGGGAACTGGGGGGTCTACGGCTGTTTGGGAGTTCTCTGACCTCTGGTTCCCCAGATGCTACCCCATGTCTTCCCCATGTCTCCTCCTGTACAGAAGTCACCACCTTGCAGGTCTTGTCACTGTGGCTGGTTGTTCCTACCCACTAACATTCTGCCCTGTGGTTCTGTATGTGGATTGGTGGCTGTTTATCTGCCCTGTGGCTCTGTATGTGGATTGGTGGCTGTTTATCTGCCCTGTGGTTTTATATGTGGATTGGTGGCTGTTGATCTGCCCTGTGGCTCTGTATGTGGATTGGTGGCTGTTTATCTGCCCTGTGGTTTTATATGTGGATTGGTGGCTGTTGATCTGCTCTGTGGTTTTGTATGTGGATTGGTGGCTGTTTATCTGCCCTGTGGTTTTATATGTGGATTGGTGGCTGTTGATCTGCCCTGTGGCTCTGTATGTGGATTGGTGGCTGTTTATCTGCCCTGTGGTTTTATATGTGGATTGGTGGCTGTTGATCTGCTCTGTGGTTTTGTATGTGGATTGGTGGCTGTTTATCTGCCCTGTGGTTTTGTATGTGGATTGGTGGCTGTTGATCTGCCCTGTGGCTCTGTATGTGGATTGGTGGCTGTTTATCTGCCCTGTGGTTTTATATGTGGATTGGTGGCTGTTGATCTGCTCTGTGGTTTTGTATGTGGATTGGTGGCTGTTTATCTGCCCTGTGGTTTTGTATGTGGATCGGTGGCTGTTGATCTGCTCTGTGGTTTTGTATGTGGATCGGTGGCTATTTATCTGCCCTGTGGCTCTGTATGTGGATTGGTGGCTGTTGATCTGCTCTGTGGTTTTGTAATTTGAAAACTATGCCTTCCCCTTCCCAGAATCCTCTGCAGCGTCCCTCATCTCTAATTTACTACATGCGTCAGGTAAATGAAGTTTAGCAACAGGTAATGGTGAGAATATTACTTTTTAGTATTTACCGTGTGCCAGGCATTGAGCTCATTGCAGTCCGTCCACGGCCTGTTTCACGCCCACGGACGGGAAGCGGGCACACTATTTCTTCCCATCTTTGAGCCGAGGAAACAGGCCGAGAGAAGGTGGGTGATGAGCGGTTGACACTGGTGGTGACGGGCAGACCCTGGTCAGTGTGGACGCCAGAGGTACACACACGAGGAAGCCCCCTCACGTCAGAGGGTCCTCCTGGGACCCCGACAGGGCTTACTGCTCATCACCTTTCCGAATTCCCTTCCCAGAAGGATCCAGAGCTGGGCCAAGGAGGCCACTGACTTAAAAGATTCAAGAGATCAGCCCGGCCGGTGTGGCTCAGTGGTTGAGCGTCCACCCATGGACCGAGAGATCGCCGGTTCGATTCCCGATCAGGGCACATGCCCAGGTTGTGGGACCAATTCCCGGTGGGAGACATGCAGGCGGCGGCCAGTCGATGTTCTTTCTCATCGATGTTTCTCTTTCTCCCTCTTCCTTCCTCTCTCTCTAAAACCAATACAGAAAAAATAACAATAACATAAAAGATTCAAGAGACTGGGTGGGCAGGAGAGTGGGGTGGGGGACAGCTCAAGGCTTCTCCCACCATCTGGGTCACGCAGCAGAGTGGGTTATGGTGTGTCTTCTGTGTAGGAACAGCAGGTGTGGGGGTGTTGGGAGTGACGAGCTTGAATCAGGTGTCTGTGGAAACCTCAGAATGGTCAGGTGCTCTCCGGGCATCTGGAGAGCGATGTGGACGGATCCGTGGACTGGGGCGCATCCAGCACCGAGGTGGTCCCTCAGGAAGGGTGCAGGAGGAAGGGTGCCCACTGACACCCAGGGAACGTCAGGCCGGAGGCAGGAGAGGTCGAAGGAGTCGTGGTCTCTAGGGACGAGGAGAGAGCGACGACATTGCCCCATCAGTGAGATCGGACTCCTTTTGGCTGTCACCTCCGGGAATGTAGGTCCTGGACCCCTGGAGAAACTCAGGACAAGACCGTACCAACCTGGACCTTTCTGCTGGCTTCACCCCCACGCCCAGGAGAGCTTCCCAGCACCTCCAGAGACCCCGCTCGGGCCGCATCAGCCTCGTTCCCGGGCCCCCACTGGTGTCCGAGGTGGCTGTGTCCTGGTTCACAGAGCAGTGGGGGCTCAGAGGACCACTTCACAGCACCCACCTTCCGAAGGGAGAAGAAAGCCCACAGGCGTGCGACCCGACTGCGTGTCTCACTGCGCGCCATTGGCCCCCATTCCACAGACGAGGAGCCCGGGGGCAGAGGCTCGTGGCCTGCCCGGCGTGGCGAGGGAAGGAGGCAGAATCTGAAGCCATGTCCCTGTGGGTCTGAAGTTCATGCCTTTGCCCTATACTGACTGCCTTCCGGACCCTGCGCCCTGTGTCCCGAAGCCGCTTCTCAGACAAGAAGACGGTCACTGTCCCAGCTTGCGTGGGACTCAGCTGTCCTTCCGATTACAGGAGCTTCTTTCCCGAGTTATGAACAAATGCACCGGAGAGGTTCCTACAGCACCCAGAGCGCAAAGCTGATCCGTCAGAAGGACGTGTTTGCAGACGGTGTCGGGGTGACAGGGCCAGGCCGTGGGAGTCCCGTGGGGAGAGACGGGGCGAGGGAGGGCTCGCAGGCAGCTCAGACCCTGCGTGTCCCCGGGCTGAACGTTCCTGGTGGCCCCCAGCCGCTCTGCTGGTTTTATTCACGTGAGCTGCCGTTTCGAGGCCAGTAAAATTCCTGGGACGTTCTACCCAGATTCAGGGCACCGGCTGACGAGTAAGCTCCCAAAGGTCGCTCATGAAGGATGATCCTGGAAGAAACATTTGCATGGAACTGAGTTTTCATTAATTAAAAGTGCAGATGGAATTCACAGTCAGAGAGAAAAACCTCTCTGAAACGAGGCAGATGAGAAGTCAGCCCTGTGCCAGCAGCCGCCTGGGCTTGCGGTCGACGCGTCTGACGGAGAATGAGCTTCCCCGCGGCGGACGTCTGTGGAGGCTTCGCAGGAGGGGCTCAGAGCTGGGCTCCGCTCACCATCCCGTGGGGCAGTCCACAGGTCACGGTCAAGCAGGTTCCCGGAGGGGGTCACAGTCTGCGTTGGATTCTGAGGGTGTGCTCAGAGATGCTTGTTGGGTGTGGACAAGGAGAGGCCAGTGCAGGCAGAGGGTGCCCCAGGGCGGAGGCCAGAGGGCAGGAACAGCATGGTGAGCTGCCAGGACCTGCAGTTCCACCCTTTTGTAGCTTAAGGAACA